TCCCATTTACTTAGTACATTTTTGAGATATAGCAACACCGGTGATGATCACCAGTGGTGATAAATAGCAAAATTCTTAATTATTATATAATATTTAAAATAATTATTATATTTTATCATTAATTTCTTATTTTAACTTTTAAATTTAGTGGATATGTCAAATAGGTATGGGCACTCCTGCACAACAATTTCTTGTGTCCTTCGATACTGGAAGTGCTGATCTCTGGGTAAGAAATATTAGATTTTCATTTTTTTTTTTAAAGTTTTTTTTTTTTTTTTTAAATAAATTTATTTTATGATTATAAGGTTCCTTGCAAAGATTGTGATGACTGTACAAATAAAAGATTATTTGATTACACTAAAAGTTCTACTATGGATTATGTTAATGGTGATTTTTCTATCTGTTATGTTGACGGTTCATGTTGTTACGGTTATGAAGAACAGGTAATCAACAAAAGATATTCATTATTCTGTACAAATATTCAGTTATTGATTATAAATATATATTAGGACACTTGTCAAGTTGGAAATATGAATATTTATAATCAACAATTTGCTGTAATAGAGGATATGAGTTCTCAATTTGTAAATGATCCTATTGATGGTGTTATGGGGCTTGGTATGTTTGAAATTTTATTTAGATAATCCTTATTTCAATAATTTCAATAATTTCAATAATCAAAATTCTTTTAATTATTTTTTTTTAATTATACTTTTTTTTCTGAAAAAAACAAAAAACTATTCAATAGGATATGATTCGCTTTCAGTATATCAAGGCGGCGCTCAAACTACTTTCACAAATATGTATAATCAAGGTTTAATTCCTAGCAAAATCTTTTCGGTACAATTACGTCCTGCACGTTCCCAAACTTCTTATGGTGGAATATTCGTCTTTGGCGGTATCGACCCTAAATTATATTCAGGCTCTATAACTTATGCTCCTGTAACAACTCAAAACTTTTACCAAATTGGAATTGACGATATTGAATGTAATGGAAAGGTTGTTGCTTCATATTCTTCAAGCAAGAAACAACAGGCTATAGTTGATACTGGTACTGCATTGTTGATCGTAACACAAAGTGTAGCAAAATCAGTGCATCAATTAATAGGTGGAAAATATGATTCTTCTTCACAAACGTGGCAAGTTCCATGTAGTTTGAGTAGCAGTACAAAATTGTCACTTAAAATTAGTGGTGTTTCACTTGCAATTAATTGTAAGTTTTACTACTATATGAACCTTACTTATACCTTAACTTTGCTTAGTTTTAATGTTCTACTTTTTTAATAATAGATCAAGAACTTGTAAGAGAACAAGTAAGTACCGGAAGTAGTTGGTGTTATTCTGGAATAGCTTCTACTACTGGCACTGTGAGTATTTATTTCAATATTTCTATGCATATTTCTACCAAAATTTTCTATTCTCACATCAATTTTTTTTTATAAAAATAGATGTGGATCCTTGGTGGTACCTTTTTGAAAGATTATTATGTAAATATTTTTTTGCTAGTTATTAATCATGATTTTTAGTTTGCTCATTATTAATTTAATTTTTTTTTTTTATGCTTTGAAGGTGATATTTGATCAAAAAAGTAATCGTGTTGGATTCGCTACACCTGTTTATGCTTATTAATATAATTTGACTAAAAATTATTTAGAAGTTTTTGTACTAGTTAATATTAAAAAATAAAGTACCTAATTTTTTTCTGTCCCATTTTAGAACTAGTATTTATTGTAACATATAAATATTAACAATAATTATCTAGTTTTGAATGTTTCTAGCATTAATATATTGCCTATAAAAAATAGCTCCTAATTCTTTAATCTTTTACTCAAAATATGAATATTTGTGTATGTACACGTACATGTTCCTATTGCCTATGTGTGAAACGTTTACGAAAAAGTTTTGATAAACTTTTAAATTTTTCCTATAAACATAAAAAGAAAAGTAAAGGCTGTCAGAACTAGAGACTGGACTCGTCAGCTCGAAACTCGAATCATGACTCGAGTTACTCGAGAATTAAATATATTTAGTTTAATTTACAACTTTTTTCAATAAATTTCGTGACTCGAGTACTTGAGTCCAGTCATTAATTAAAATTATTAATACTCGAGTAACTCGAGTCATGATTCGAGTTTCGAGTTGACGAGTCCAGTCTCTAGTTAGAAACATCGCAATAAAATCCTCAATTTTTAGTACTGTATTAAAAAAACCAAGTTGAACTGCAAATATTGTTGCCGTCAGTGAGAGAAAAATGAGTGTGCAAGTACAAACTTAGCATTGAGAAATAGAGTTGAAATGTTAATGTTTATTTTAAAAACAAAAGATGTTCGTTTTTTACGTTTCAAAAAAAGTGGAGAAAAGAGGAAAGGGCACCTTTAAATAATGTAGCAAGAATTATAGATGCGCATTCGATATGTATTATACTGTACGCGAAAATTTTTTGCCGATCACCATTAAGGGTGGCTGGATGTAATCGGCAAATCTATTAACATAATTTCAATAACCTAATTTATTTGTGTTTGTATTTAAATAACTAGGAAACATTTATGGCTCATTTTTATGTATTTCATGTTCTAATGTTTATATTATAAATAGTGTTATATTAAAGAATGAAACCCGTATTAAGATTAACTTTCTATGATGTACGTAAATGACAATAGTTTATGATAAGTGGTTAATCTGTGATTGAATATTTGAACGTACGTACGTATAATGTAGCCCCGATTTATAATTGGATTACCATGGATGATTATTATCAGAAACCAACTCGTGGATAAGTAGAAAGAATGCATTTTTTTCTTTTAACTTGCTTTTCAACTAATTGATATTGACTTATATAAAAGTGATTTTTTGTAATTATCATATAAATTTTTATAACATTAATTCACTAGAAATCAACGAGTGTCACCGAATTTTTGTAACCTAAGAATAAATTTAATAATTCTTTTTTACATTGTTATGTGCAATCTATGGAAACACTGTTGTCACATTATCTTTGTAAAATGCCAAGAAAATTACCTCGCCACTTCCTGTAGCACTGTGAAAGATCGTGGTCCCGTCCCATCAATTTGTAGATCGTTACACAATTGATAAAGGCTTTTTTTATATTGGTTTACAATACTTTTTTAGGAAGCTCGCGTAACCTACTCCCGCTATGAAACTCAAAAATGCCACTAAGTAAACTTGAAGTATTCGAAGCGCCCTACAACATATTTCTTTAA